GCTCGTTTGTCATCCATAATCAATAAAAAAAAGTTTGGTGATTGTCACTCGTGTGGGAAAGTAAAATTCTCCGCTAGGAGTAATAGTGTTCTGTGAGTAAAATTCGCCATCATTGAATGAAATGACTTCTGACTTGGGAAGTTAAGACTGAAGATATATTAAGTTATCACATCTGTTAGCCCAAAATTTTCAAAAATAAAAAAATTTCGAATTTATATACATGGTTATCCTCCATGACATTTAAAACCGCATTGCATTTTAGCAACAAAAAAGTTGGGAATTCTATTAATGATTCTACGTCATATGTAAATTCCAGAATTTTGTAAATTCCAGAATTTACATATAACGTAGAATCATTAATTGGATACTAAAAGCTTATTACCAAATGCAAATTCTATTATGTAAATCGTTGTCGATTGCGTTTGCACGGTCGCTCAGTTCGGCAGTTTGTCACGAAGCTCGCTTGCAAAGAGCACTGCACTATTTGCAACTTATCGAAAGAAGAAAAAGGTAGACACTGGAAAAAACTGGAAGAGTTTATAGAAACTTGCCTTTGGCAGACAAAAGCAAAGGGATTGTAACAAAGAAATTGCCGCCTACAACGGGCTGCTAGAAAAATACAAAAACTTTTTTTCGTTAAACACATAATTAATCAATAACTCAAGTGCGTCATCATCTTCCATCATGGATGACATGTTTCATGGGTGAGCTTCTGCGGAGAAGTGATCACAGAACACTATTAGGAATGATGATCGACGCCGATATCGGTGGTATGTGGAGACACTAGGGGCGTTCGATTAAACTACAGTCTGATATCGCTACGATATATCGTTACGTGTGCAGCAGATTCGCAATATGTGTGTCTATGATAATAACGTATATTACGTAATATATCTCCGTAGCGGAAGCTTGTTATCTGATTTTGCTTTTCTTTATTGACAGTCGTATCAATTGCAACCAAATCCGATTGGTTTATTAATTACTTATTATTAATTTGTATAATATTTTAAAAGTAATGTAAGCGCTTCTCGAGCACTCATCCCATGTGACAGCAAGTTGCAATTAAACTTTAAAACTACTTCAAAAAACAACAAGTAATGGATATTATGTTCGTGCAGTTTGTTTTGTTTGTCACCCCGTTTTGTCTCGTCGGTGTCATAAGAGATTTTTTATAGCATATTTAATTATATTTATATTTATTTACTTATATTTTAAAAACAGTGTACATGCTGGCTTACAGTATGCCCAAAACGTCAGCATGCTAATTAACAAATTACAATTTTAATAATAGTAATAAGATACATGTCAAAAGGTCAAACAAATTAAAGAATACATGTGCAATAAATCAAATAAATACCAAAAAAAAATACATGCCAAATAGATTAAAAGTCAAATAGATTACATATCAAATAAATTAAGCAAAATTTCATTGTCAAATTGATTACATAAGATAAGATTAAAAGAATATATTACAATATGTCAAAATTGGATGTCAAAAATAGAAGGGCTTTATTACACAGTTGCTCTAAGCTATCAGCAAATAAGTCAGTCTCGGTATCACCTGCGAGCATGTCTCCAATAAGCCGTATAGCACGAGAAGTGCGAGAAAGAGCGAGAAGCGCCGCACCTGGTGCGCGCCGACGGCCGCCACAGAAGGCGCGGTCGCCGCCGCGGTGCCACCGTCCCCTTCATATCACAGCCCAGCCGCTTCGGAGCCAACAAACCTACTCTACTTAATATCATCGTACTATCTATACGATTATGGATGATTGCTAGGTAGTATGTTATCAACTGCATAGTTCGCAGTGCAAGTTTTAGCGTGTCCAAACTCCAAACCCACCATACCAGTAACAAATAAGGATGGATATAGATAGGGGTAGTAACCGTATTTCTGTTTGTATAGCCATCGTGCAAATTTGCGCTGTATTCTCTCTATCATCTTCCTCATAGGGATATATCTTTCCTCATAGGGATTCCATTCCATGGCACCGTATTCAATCTTGCTACGAACATATGCATTTTAAAGTACCAAAGCGACGTCTAATCTATCAAACTGTGAAGAAGTGCGAATAACGAAGCCAAGCAATTTACTGGCCTTTTTATATGTAAAAAGGCCAGTAAATTGCTACAGTAGTCACATGGTTATGAAAGTCGAGTTTAGCGTCTAACAATAATCCTAAGTCACGAATTTCACTTACCCCTACTAAGGGCGTGTCAGATAAATTATATTCTTTTTTTGTGGACAGCATTTACGCGTGAATGTTATTATTTTACATTTATTACTCTTAAACGGAAGATGATTTAATACACTCCAATCCATAACCGCATCGATGTCCCTTTGCAATGCCTCGCAGTCAGACGGGTCATCTACACCTAGGCTTAACTTGAGATCATCCGCGAACAACAGACATTTGGAGGCAGTCACGCTATTTGGTAAGTCATTAATGAAAATAAGAAAGAGCAAAGGGCCCAATGTACTTCCCTGGCTCACTCCAGATCTTGTGTAATAGTCACTAGACTTAAATTGCACCCACTTTAATAAACCGACGTCGATCGCGTAAGTAATTTGAAAAAAACTTGACGAGTGCCGGGGCTAAGCCTATCACCGCCAATTTACGCAACAAGATATCGTGGTCGACCAGGTCAAATGCTTTCTTAAAATCGAAGTACGCAGCATTCACCTGCCTACCAACATCCAATTCAGCATATGTATAGTCAAGATGAGACACAAGATTGGTAGTTGTAGAACGAGCAGTTCGAAAACCGTGTTGACTATCATGCAAAGCATAGGGTGACAATCAAGCACACAGTCCACCTGATGGTAAGTGGATGCTGTGGCCTATAGACATCTACATTTATCCTCAATTAGGAATCAAAATGCAGATGCGTTGCCATCCCTGAGGACTAAGATAGAATGCCTCGTCTCCAGTAAAAAAGGTTTCCGGTTCTCTACACTCACCATACGAAACACATCAGCAATGAGTTGTTATTTCACGCTGGTATTCTGTGAGAGCGTGGTCAAATTTGTGCTGCAATCATAATATAGCTGCAGTCTGAAATCCCAGAAAAAGCTTATTGCTTCCGATAGGTAGACGGTATTCCATCTCATTTACGTCAGATGCAAAATACCCAAGCTGTAAATGGGCAGCAGCACCAAAGATTTTGGCACTGTGATCGTCAATCTGCAATACCTCCCTAGTCCCTAGAACAGGAGAGGCCCGTATGGACTTTTAAAAGCTTGTAGTAAAGCAGTCACTTCAGAAGTTTAGAGTGGAATGCCATAACACCCGTAATAAGACAGCTTACGTTACACCTACGGATTTGTATCGGATGCTTCACAGCTCTATTACACTCGTTCTCAATAGGATTTAGTGGCACAACGGAAGATGTATATATTTGATACAGTGATATAATTTTATATTGGTAAATAATTATAATTAAAATATCAAATGGTGGTTCAATATATTGACGTACCTAGTGATTGATTCGACAAATGACGCTGTTGACTATGCGACTCTGCCTGGCAGTGGGTTTGGCGATTTGCCAGTCTGCTATAATTGGTGGTCGCCACACTAGAGACAGATTATATTAGCTTCTCAATCGGCCACTGGCCTTCCGTACAACATAAACTTTGCTTTAAAAAATAATGTTTCTGCCTGCTCTTGACCTAGTGACGACTATGGATGTACGCAATATTAACTTTGGAGATTGTCGTAATAAACAGGTTATTGAACTTTGCACAAACTTTTTTTAATTTTGTTCTGTAAAGCTAATGGAAAGTTGAATTCTAAATTGTAGGACAGAATCTAACAAAAACTCATTATCATCATTTAAAGAAAATACGAGTAGTAGCTTGATTTACCCCTTGACTTCGTGCAGGCAAATAAGATGCCATTAAAAACATAACTTGTAAAAAAACCAAGTCTTGCAACTCAGTTCTTCTACTGTAAAAAGTTGTGAGATGCATGTATCAAGCAATACCTCGGTAATTTATTCAGTTCCTACTTAAGACTTCTTATGTTTTAAGTTATTACGTAATTAGCTAACCTAACAACATTTTATAGTGACCATATCAATGTTAAGTCTTTTATGTTTTAAATATATAGATTGACTTGGCCATTTGTATATAAGATAGTCCTAATTTTTTACCTTTCCGGTACCTTCTACTTCTTGAGTACCAAAAACGTACCTATGTACACCTGTAATACATATACAAGTGCACTGATTCATTCACCGCAAATTTTTAAAATTTTGTAATTCCATATATTTATATGGGATTACAAAGTTATTAATGCAGTTGGTGTATCTAGAAAACGGGACCGAAATTGAAAAATATTTTAGTTTTTCCTTGATTTATACACTACATACTAATTGTATTCTAAATTTGAAGCTTCTATGTCTGCTAGAAGTGCCTTAGAGTTTTGATGATCGGTCAGTCAGTGAGTGACAAAATTAAGAAACTTTGACTTGTTACAATTCTTAAACTACTGGTTCACATTGAATGAAATTTGAAGTATACGATGTTTATACAATGCTTACTTTAATACGGTTACTGAAAATTCAGGCTTCTTCTAGATTAATTGACTACGAAGTTATAGGGGGTCGAAAATGGCCTGAATTGCTTCGAGAAAAGATGGTACGGCCGTGCCGCTTTTTTGCACGACTTGGCGGGGACACTACCGTGCCCCCAGATCAATAAATCTAATTTATAAAAATTAACATTTTTTTGTTTGTATTTTATACGCTGCTATACCGTTTTTCAGAATACACTTACGCGACAGTTATAGTCATAATGGGATCCGGTAACTGGCGCCGTTGTAGCATCCAAATATCAACCGTGCGAAGCCGGGGCATATCGTTTGTAAGAAACGAAAGAAAATACAATTAACCTTCTTACAACTAAGTATTATTTTTAATAAAAAAATAACTTGACAGCTAACATTTACATTAATAAGTGGTTCGCATGTCTTGAATAAACATTTCGTCCAATTTCGCCTAAAATGTCGCTACCATACGGTCCACCATATCCGGTATCACCTTTAATAAGAGGAATTAGATTTGCCCTGCTATTAGCAGGTATTGTCTACGGTCGAATAAAACAAGCTAAGTACGAAGACCTTGAAGAGACTTGGCGTGAAGAAGAAGCGAAGCGAAAGGTTGTACGTGATAGAGAGCTTGCGAAATTAAAAGAGAAAATTGCCAAAGAAGAACGAGAAGTTGTTCGGCAGATAGAAACTGGCGAGCTATTTAGACCTGGTAATATTATTACAAGATTATTATAAAATTTTGAAATATGTATAAATTACTACCGTCTATTCTTTATTTGCAGATGGAGAACTATGACTTGAATTGTTACAATAACAAACAAATACTCTTTTTATAATGAAATAATATGCCAGTAAAATAAAGTGAGTGCCTCATGTGTCATGTTTGTTTTGGCATACGCATTATATTAAAAAAAAAACGACTGAACTTAGAACGTTGCTTGCTACTTACATAATGTAACTTTGCACAAACTTTTTTTAATTTTGTTCTGTAAAGCCAATGGAAAGTTGAATTCTAAATTGTAGCACAGAATCTAACAAAAACTCATTATCATCATTTAAAGAAAATACGAGTAGTAGCTTGATTTACCCCTTGACTTCGTGCAGGCAAATAAGATGCCATTAAAAACATAACTTGTAAAAAAACCAAGTCTCGCAACTCAGTTCTACTGTAAAAAGTTGTGAGATGCATGTAATACCAAGTCGGTTAATTTATTCAGTTCCTACTTAAGACTCCTTATGTTTTAAGTTATTACGTAATTAGCTAACCTAACAACATTTTATAGTGACCATATCAATGTTAAAAGTCTTTTATGTTTTAAATATATAGATTGACTTGGCCATCGCATGAAACCACAATGTATCTCACAAGAAATACATATTATATTAAATTAGATTGCCTAGTGCGATTGACAAGTCAATCTATATATTTAAAATATAAAAGAGAACTATGACTTGAATTGTTACAATAACAAACAAATACTCTTTTTATAGTGAAATAATATGCCAGTAAAATAAAGTGAGTGCCTCATGTGTCATGTTTGTTTTGGCATACGCATTATATTTAAAAAAAAAAACGCCAGAACTTAGAACGTTGCTTTCTACTTACATTATTAAATGATAAGATAAATATAAACATTTCTTTTAATTGAATTATTGCCAAATTTATCCCACTTAAAACTTAATAATTTATCAGTGAGGCTTTCACAGTTGTAAAATTCAATTAAATTGAAGCGAAAGTTAGAAAAAGTAGCACCTTTTATCGTACAGCGGCGTGGTAAAGAAACACATCTATACTATTGTTAGAGACATACAAAGATAACTTTGATATTGTATATGACTCCATTTAGTTTCTACGCGACTAGGACTACCATATTTTAAACATTACACATGTACAGAAAAACGCAAAATGTATTTGATTGTGAATTTGATGCATGCAGGCAGTGATTACCTTAAAATTAACCGCTTAGACTTAGATGCGGTCTAAGTCTAGCCCAGGTGGACTTTTTTTATTATATGCGAGCAGCTATGCAGGTCTAAAGAAAGAGACCAGTATCACTGCGACCTATAAGATCTATTGTGATCGCTGCTATGGCTATAGTTCACGGCTAAGCCCTATGTCTTCAATGAATAGAAGGAGTTGCTTAGCCGTGAGCAATTTCATTTCTTCTGGGCGGATTACATAGTTTCCCAGATGAGTGTTACGTTTGCGCATTAAAGGCGTCGTTAGGATGTGTAGAGGCGTTTCTTCCGTTATGGAACAGAACCGACACATCCTTGAGTTGCTTAGTCCAAGGATGGACATGTGCTTTTTAAGACAACAGTTTCCAATTAGGGCTCTTGCCAGAATGCGCAATTTATTTTTACTTAATCCCAGGGCTTCTGAAGCGAATTTACGATCAAAAGCCCGGATTAAGGTTTTAGAATGTTTTAAGCCTGGTGTGTCAGACTAGATCTTAAGTGATTTATTGTGATAAAGAGTTTCACGGGTCAATCAGGCTAGGCTTCTTGGGATTCCACAAAATGGCTCAGGTCCAAATTGTGTGCACTTTGAGCCCTCCCTTGCAAGTTGTCGGCAAATTGAACGTGACCCACCCATCTTAAAACGACCCTGTTGTTACATCCCAGGGCGTTTAAACGGTTCACGCAGTCTCCAACTAGCTTCAAGTTCACTAAGTTTGACCTCAGCGCTAGCAGTGCTGCTTGACTATCAGAGTTTATGTAAATTATATGGTTGACGTAGTGTTTTTGCAGATTGATTTCCGCACACCGAAGTATAGCTAAAATTTCTGCCTGGAAGATAGAGGTGTATCTACCCAAATTCATACTAAGTTTGAATTTGGGGCGTTCCCCGTAAATTCCAAAGCCCACGTCAAGGCCCATTTTAGACCCATCGGTATACCATATGAGGCTACCGACCTCACAGATATCCTGGCCATTCAGCCAGTCTTCTCTGGAGGGTAACTCCACTGTATACTTTTTATCAAAAGTGTGTAGTGGACGCATGATATCTGAGATCATGCATAAGACCGGTGATTCCTTAATTGAGTCGAGCATGGATCTCAATCTGTAGGAGAGCAAGCTCAGACCGCCCTGGGCGTTAATCCTATACAAACTAGCCCTCGCCTCCTTGTCTAGATAGAGATCAAGGGGCGTTAGGCATAGAAGTGCATTAATGATCGCATAGCTCCAGTTGCCATTAAGCAGGCAGTCCTTTGTAGACTATTTAGTCTGTCCGCAGTCATCTTTTGGTTGGCCTTGTTACACCAGACAATAGAGGCGTAGGTGAGAATCGGCCTCACTATGCTGCTGTACAGCCATAGGACCATACTGGGACGCAAGCCCCAGTTGTTCCCGACCAAACGACTGCACGTACCTAAAGCAATTTTTGCCTTATGGCATACGTTGCTAAGGTGAGAGTTCCACGTTTACGCCCAAGTACTTAACTTCCGTGCAAAATGGTACTTCTTTGCCATTAAGCTTTGGTTGGACTAATTTTTCCAACCGTCTCTTTTTGGTAAAGGGTAATAGACAGCCTGGACCTACACCAGTTATTATATAAAGGTGGACTTGGTGATTATGATAAAATTGCATTATGAATATTAAGACATGTTTTATACGTGGTAGAGCCATGCAGTTCGACCGGGGAACGATCACGCTCTCACATAATACCAGCTTAAAATGGCAGCTTAATGCTCCTGTGTTTGGTGCAGTAAGTGTAAGGCAGTAGTAAGGCGTTCTATCTTAATCCTTAGGGGTGACGACACATCTACATTTTGTTTATTATTTGAGGATACATTTAGGGTGTCTATGGGCGCATTTCGCATCTACTCTGTGATCGTTTGTCACCCTTATTCTATAAAAAAAACATATCATCGCAAACAAACATATACCTATGTTTCACATAGGAATTCCCGCGAAAACATGCAAACTAATATTAAAAATAGCTATAGAATTGCGGCGTAGCTCTATCTACCAAATGTTAAATATTTTTTCTCTAGCCCTTCATTAATCTACTGCTGAACAACTGAACATAGACCTCCTCTAAGGAATGCCACAAAGCACGATCCTGAGCCACCTGCATCCATCGACTAACTGTATGTCTGTTACGTCAACTTAGAATTGAGGATATCCGCAGTAATACCAGTGTAACCAACAAAGATCAAGGGATTAAGAAGCTGAAGAGGCAATGGGCCGGCTATATAAGTCGAAGAACTGATATCCGATGGGGAAGAAAGATTCTCGATTGGCAGCCTCGTACCGGTAGGCGAATTGTTGGGCGGCCCTCCACTAGATGGAGATCTACCTGGTAATTATTTTATTAATTACTTCAAAATCATAAAACAGAAAGTTGTGTTTCTGTTATAATTTAATACAATATGCAACTATTATTGCATGTCATGCTAGGTTTTGACATAGGTGCATGGTAACTCTACACGTTTACACACTTTGCAAGTGCCGAAAACCACTTTCTAGTAATGTGGAGGGACGGTATCGCGTAAATTTCTTTTACCAGTTATTTTAACGCTACGTTGAATACACTCAACCATAATTAAAATAAATAACGATAGATGTCATTGAACTTTACGGTATCGTTACGTAACATTTTCTTAAAGCCTTGGTAGATGTGAGTTAGTGTGTGCGTTTGCCTTATTCCTATATATTAAAATTTCTACACACAGTTAACTAACGACTGGACTTAAGCCCGGTCTACATTTTGAAAAGTGACAACCGCGAGTGGCAAGTGCGACTGACAAATGACAAGTGCTTAGTGCGTATTTTATTCACACTTATCACTTGTCACTGCCTGTTCAAGCAAATGACAGGTCCTTAGTGCGTGTGAACAGGTAGTGCCAAGTGATAAGTGGGAATAAAATACGCACTTGTCACTTTTCATTTGCCGCTTCTCATTTGCCACTCACACATGCCACTTCTCAAAATGTAAACTGGGCCTAAGCGTTGACTTATTACAAGGATATTATATGTAGTTCATCGATCAATCATATTACGAATACACAGCTTACGTGGTGTTATTGTGGCCGAAGTTGGAAAAGGGGAGATCTCCCGCCAGGCAAGGTGTTCAGCCCGGGGAGCGGCTCACACTCCGTGTGATAGTTCGGAGAAGTTCTATATATACTGTTTATGATTCGGAATGTTGATAGCGCGATTTAGGCTTCGGTGTATTTCGCTTGTGGCGGCGACGACAGCGCCGCTACATCACCCCCTGCTCAGACCGGAGGTCGATAGTGCAGTCGAGTTGTCGACGAATGTGCAAGTGCCAGGAGATTGCCTTGTAGTCTGCGATGAGTCGAGAAGAAGGCAAGTAATCTGCGAGAGTGCCGTGAAGCAGAGGCGAGCAGTAAGGCTCAGAGCCGTGCCGAACACTGCATAGCACAGAGAGTAGCTTGAAGGAACAGGAAGCATTATTATTCTAGTGCTGCGATGAACCTTGTGAAGCTAGCTGGCTTGCAGGATATGAAGACTGCAGACGATATCTGCTCGGGAGCGAATGGGTGGGGTATTCTATGACGATGATGAAGCTTGAAGTTTCCGAAGGTTGTTGGTTGCGTGTTTGGTCACGTCGGGGTCACCACTGTGGCCGTGGAAGGAAAATGGGAGATCTCCCGCCAGGCAAGGTGTTCAGCCCGGGGAGCGGCTCACACTCCGTGTGATAGTTCGGAGAAGTTCTATATATACTGTCTATGATTCGGAATGTTGATAGCGTGATTTAGGCTTCG